TTGACTATGTCCTCTCAAAACCCACGGTCTTCACTATGCTTACACATAGCAAATCTTCATGAGTGTGTTGATATTTGTGGTCGCTTTTTGTACACATATATTAATACTCGTGGCTAATTTATATTCACTGAAGGATACTGTACCACTTACATATTCTTTGTCTTTTTCTTTCTTTTCGTAAAAGGGGGTAAGACTAGTACCCTAATAACTGTAATATTACGAAACGAAAGAGACACAGACATGAGTATTTCTCAATTTTCAACCTACGAATTGGTTATTTTTAAAACTTTTTTAGCTCTTTTTGGAAGTCTAACTTCTACTTTGAGTTTACACAAGTTACTTGTTTTTGTCCCACATCGGTAAAAAGGTGTCAGTTAACCTTCTTTAAATAGGGAAATATTTAATTATGTAAGCAATTACAAAGGGGGCCCACTGGGTATTGGGGTGGCCCATGAGCTCTTACAAAGCCCCATGTCTAGAGGGCACTCTTTAAAATTATGCACCTTATTTTTTACAAAAACCCAATATTTGGTCCTAAACTCATACCCCTATTTCTCCCACATCGAATAAAAATAAGAAGTGAAGACGGTTAATATAGCCAAACTTCACGACAAGTAAATGCCAAGAAAAGGGTGTCTGTGAAAGGATGGACCTCAACTAAGCATTTTGGAATCTGGCTAGGTCACTGTCACTCTTTTCCTTGGCCTTTTCTCATTTTTGAATCCTTGGACCCATGAGTCTGAAGATAACAATACAATTCCTCTCAGGCTCAAAACCGAGGAATCATATGCCTCGGACCCTAAATGTCCTGCATAATACAATTCCTCCTCGGCCCCATGAGTCCGAAGATACAATACAATTCCTTTCAGGCTCAAAGCCAAGGAGCCATATGCTTCGGACCTTAAGTGTCTGGCATAATACAATTCCTCCTCGATCCCACGAGTCTGAAGATACAATACAATTCCTTTCAGGCTCAAAGCCGAGGAACCATATGCTTTGGACCCTAAGTGTCCGACATAATATAATTCCTCCTCGGTCCCACGAGTCCAAAAATACAATACAATTCCTCTCACTCTCAAAGCCAAGGAACCATATGCTTCGGACCCTAAGTGTCCAGCATAATACAATTCCTCTTAGGCTCAAAGCCGAGGAACCACAAGCCTCAGACCTTAAGAGTCCAAGAGCGTCAATAAAGTTCCTCTGGTTCACAACCAAGGAATCACAAGCCTCGGATCTCAAGTGACCGAGGACATCAGTAAAATTCTTCCAAGGCACATATGGAAACCGAGGAGACCCACTCACCGGACCTCAGGAGTCCGGAGATACAAGTCAAACACGTACCTTGGATCTTAAGAGTCCAAGGACATCAAAACATTCCTCTTAGCTAAGGAACCTCACACTTCAGACACTAAGAGTCTGAGTACAAGTAGATGGGTCAAAAACTCGGATAAGATAGTCAAGACCTAAGCATACGTTGACATATTCTTTGACATCTTATTCTCAAAATTAATGAATTTGATCAAGACAATTACTGAGTCAAGTAAGTAATTTGCCCCACATCGAAATAATACAAGGACAAACAATATTGATATACTTGTTTCGCACAAAGTCAATAGCAAGAAGGGTTCCCTTGATGGTTAAATCGCTAAGTGATACAACCATCTCTAGCTAAAAACTAAACTGTCATATGAGTTCCCTTCTTAATATCCTTCCTATTTTTGCTTTGGACCACAAAGAGTTCGAAGCCCTCAGACAATAAATTTCTCTCAAAGACATGAAAGCATCATTACTCAGCAGTTATATGCAAAAACATTCATAGATATGCAAATCGCCTCAAAATAAAGTTTAATTATTACAGCTCAAGAGCAAAAATATATTGTTTCAAAATACATTGTTTCAACAATAAAATAAAATAAAATAAAATTTACACAACTCTACTTCCTTTTTGGATCAAAAGGAGCAGAGTCAAAAGCATCAACCATAGTTGGGTTGGAAGTAATTTTTGGAGGGGTTGAGGGGTTTAAGGCTGAAGGAATTAAGGGGCTTGGAGCCAGTGAAGCTGAGCAACTCAACGCTGGAAGATCCCCTTGATGAGACTTCACCATCTCAGCAAATAATACCTCAGCTTCTTGGGCCTTTGGACCCTCAACATAAGGAAATGACACCCCCATGTCAGCATCAAAAGCATCTGGGTCCTTTAATTTATCACCTGAGCCTTAGTTAAAGGAAGAGTAGCGCTCCTGCATTTGCTTTCCAGTAGTTGTACAAGTGTTTATCGCATCCCTCCACCGAAGGTTCTCAGCCTCCAGCACATTCACCTTAATTTCAGTAGATGCAAGCCAACTCTTGTATGTGTCTCTGGCATTGTAAGCCATCTTTGCATCATTGAGCGAGTAGGAGAGTTTCTTTTCAGCAGCCTCTAGTTCCTTCTCCATTTTTTGAATAAAGATTGACTAGGCCTCAGCATTGGGACACAGGGCCATAGTATGGTACATGTTCTACACAAATCAGCAATAGTGTAAAATAATATGGAGGGAAAGTAAAGTGAGCATCAAAGAAAAAAAGGTGCAAACCTTCATAGCACGGATAGGGGCAGAAAGAAGTAGCTGGTCCAGCCCCATGTTTCCAATGATTTCTTCATCTTTGGGCAGCCACATTCCACGAGCTACAGCCAGAGCAGCAGAAGGGTTCATAACTACAGAATCTCCAGAGTGAAGAATTGACTTGTCAGCTCTGGAGAAAATGGGCCTCCAAAGCTCTCCAACCTTAGCTTGGATGAAAGCCCTAACCTCTTCTTCAAGGTCAACTTCTTTAGCATTCTTCCATTTGCTCTTAGAAGAAGTGGCACCCTTAGCCTTGCTTATGGAGAGAGGGTTTGGCTTTTTCTTTTTTTTTGGAAGTTCTTCAATCTCCTTCTCCTACTCAGTTGAACAGATAACAACAAGGGGCTGGTCCTCAGTTGCCTACTTTTTATGAGCTTCAGCTCTTTTCTTCTCCTTATCAGTCAGAGGGAAGTTGTCAAAAGAAGGGAGTGCCAAATCCATAAGATCAGTAGCTGTAGCACTGGAAGCAATTTCTTTGAGGTTAGATGAAGTGAGTAAATCCTTAACAGGTGGGGTTCACTCCAAACTTATCCTTCAAGGAAGGAGAGCCTCTTCTTAGCTATAGAGGAGGGAAATTGTAATACCCCTAAAAATCACAGAAATGCTGCTGAAAAAACACCAAGAAACTCATAAGTATGACAAAAGAATAAAACTTGACATGGGAAGCAACCACAGCACTTCTTATGAAGAAAGGGAAAATACTCTATACCTAGTTTCCCAAATTTGCTAGGAATTGGGAGTTTACTTGACTGAGACACAAACCAGTTCCCCCTAACAATTATCATTCTCTCTTTCCACTTCTTCTCAGAGGAAAGGAGGTCCGTACAAATCATTTGCTGATGAGAAAAAGTAAAATAAAAACGACCAGGTTCGGTCACATGTCTGGAGATGGAATAAGTAATCAGGAGGTCAGTGAAAGTCAAGTCAAGGCTCTCTAGCCTTTGGCGAACAAGAAGAGCTGAGACTATTTGAAGAAAGTTAGGGTTGACTTGAAGAGGGGCAATGCCTAACCTATTAAAAACTAAATGATAGAAAGGGTGAAGAGGAAAACGAAGAGCATGAAGATGCCAACCAATAGAAGTAACTCATTCTCCTTGACCCCTTCACCTAAAGTAAAATTGGCCTTCTTAGGGTACACAGCACTTTCTACCCCCTCAGGGATTTCAAATTCCTCAATCACAGATTCGATGGTGAACTTGATACGCCGGACGGACATAATCATTTTTCCTTCCTTCTTTGAGAAAATACTATTTGATCCGCTGGAAGTAGACACTTCAACTTGAGGGAGAGAATTACTCATTCGCACAGTCGAATTGGTTGTGGATTCAGGAGGGTTAGAAACCCTAAGAGGAGGAACCCTAATGAGACTAGGGGAAGACGAGGGCGTAGACTCAGAGTCCACAATCTCTATAGGGTCGTGAATGGGTGAGGTACTCATGATGGTATGAAATCAAAGAAATTGGTGAAAAACTAACCTGAAGTCGTGATGAAGCAAAGAACGCAATGGGTGCAATGAACGCAGTGGGGGCAAAAGCAAGTTTTGAGGAAGCCCTTTGGTCAGAATCGCAATTGACACTTCTTGAACCGCCTTTTGTAAAATTGGCAACCGTGCAACTTCAATTTCCTTTTAATTAGGAGCCGTGGTCCAATTAAAGAGGGAATTGGGGGCAAAGTGTGGAGGGAAAAATTCCCCTCCGATAAGAATCATCCACATAGCCAAAAGAGAATTTTATTTTTAATTTCTTGATGGGTTACAAGAAGCTCAGTCCTGTTCAAGCCCAGGTATCATCACCAACAGACCAATATCACCAACATCGAGCTCCTAGCCCATTAACAAAGTAAGCTGAGCCAAGTTGCATTCGGCCCAAATATATTTAAAGATGGAACCAGTCCTACTAGCCAAGGGATCCAACATAGAAGGAAAGTTCTACACAAAGAAAGTTTGGTATGGAAAGAATTGTAAAAAGGAAGAACTCTATTTATAAAGAATGATTTATATGGAATGAATTGAAGGACAAACAAGGTGAGTCCTACCATAATTCTACCACCTTTTTATATATAAATAGAGACTTAGTCCTCCAATAAAGTTCATCGAGCAATATACGTTTTTCTTTGAATAGTTCTTATGAATATTTATTTTTGAGTGAGTTGTATTATTTCTTTAATTCTTTTGTGATAAGAGAAATTTTGCACCTACAGCTATGTCTTGCATTATTTAGATCTAGTTTTGTAAAATATATTAGTGTGTGTATACAACATTTCATAACCCATAGGTTATTAACAACTAGCATTGAAACCAGAATTGCTTTTACATATTCATAAGAAGATTTTGGTGTAGAAAAACATGCAATTGATTTTTATTGCTTTCTGAATGCGAACTCATTCCATATAATGCAGGAAGTAGAAAAACATGCAATTGATTATTACAAAGAATTCCGTAAAAAGGAAACAACTACGTCAGGACCGGTATATACTGAGGCACATTAGGAGTTAGTCAAAGAAGGAGAGAAATGGATGAAAGACACAGCCACCTCTTGTACAATTATAGCAGCTCTTGTAACTACTGTAGTGTTTGCCGCTGCTATTACAGTACCGGGTGGAAATGATCGCAACAAAGGCTTTCCAATTCTCTTTGAGGATAGAGGCTTCATAACCTTTGTTATATCAGATGCACTTGGGCTTTTCTCATCCATCTCCTCTGTGGTGATGTTCTTATCTATCTTGACTTCGCGTTATTCAGTAACTGATTTTCTCTTCACCTTACCCAATAGGTTAATCATTGGTCTTATAACCCTCTTTATCTCCTTAATATCCATGATGGTAGCTTTCGGTGCCACACTCTATCTTATGTTTGCACATAAGATTACATGGATCATTTTTCCACTTACTGCATTTTCCTGTATACCTGTAGCATTGTTTGCCTACTCCCAATTTCCTCTCCTTTTGGATATGATCATATCCACTTATGGCCCCGGCATTTTCGGTCAACGGAGTGATCGTATCCTTTTCTGGATATGTAAATCGAGAAAGGAAAAACTTTAATCTTGTATCATTTTCTATCTGTATCAATTAAGTCATTGAATGAATGAACTAAAATTTCGTTTCCATAAAGCCTGTTTTGGCACTCATAAACGTTACAGAGAACAAAGTTAATGTTATTACATGGGCTTTTGGTTTGATATTTCTTGTATTTCCTCATTTTTGTTAAATATAGACTAAAGATTACTCAGAAATGATTGTAAATTAAGTGAAGGGAAGGGAAAATGATAACTTTGTTTCACGCCAGTTTATCTCATTCATAAAGGTTACATTATTGTTATTTGCATCCTTCAATTGCTCTCCACTCAAACATGGATGCACTTTTATTTACGTGGACTTGAATCCCTCCCTTTCCCTTTGAGAATAGAGAAGTTATACCATTGAGATTTGATGAAATTAGGTACTCAAAATTTTTCATTGGTGGTCATTTTTCTAATTTATTTTTCACCAAATTGAAGTACACATAACTCGATCCAACGATTAATGAACTTCAAAGCATATAGTATCTTGGAATATTTTGCTAATTGGTGAAGGGAAAAAGAAAAAAAAAATTTAAGCACAATAAAAGTAGAATTTATACTGGTGAACAGGGAAGAACAATATTTTAAGCACAATGCAGTTTCTAATTACACAAATAATATTTGAATCAAATAGTCTTAATTACAAGGGCAAAGTGGGTGATTTCTTCGGGCACTTATTTGTAAATTTTGCTAAATAGATAAAACAAATAAAGGGTTAATGCTCTCAAGCCAACTAGAAATACAGCTATCATAAAAAGTCAAAATGCTACATTAGTGTTCAGCGATTTGCGATTTACATTAGTGTGACAAAAGTTCTTTTAATTATTTATAACTAATAAAACATCAATATGTAGTAATATAAAGAAAATCAGCGTAAAGAACATAAGTCCTGTATAAATTTAAGGGAAATTAACTTTCTAAAGAGAGTAAAGAAATATATAATGGCCCATAAATCATAGATATTAAAAGCAATGTAGTCTTCATTAGGTGATAACCAAAATTGCCAAGTCTTTCATATCATGGTAACAAAAATTCAATGGTGTATACTATATAAGTAAGGAACGTACTGGAATGTAACCGCAAAGATGAGAGAAGTTAATGATATTCAACTGTTACTAGAATTTAGGAAACTTATAGAAACTTATACATATATATATATATATATATATATATATATATATATATATATATATATATTTGTTATATTTCACATCAAACTGTTAAAATTATTTATAAATGAAGTTTCTATAAGTTTCCTAAATTCTAGTAACAGTTGAATATCATTATTAACTTCTATATATATACAAATATATATATATATATATATATATATTTGTTATATTTCACATCAAACTGTAAAAATTATTTATAAATGAAGTTTCTATAAGTTTCCTAAATTCTAGTAACAGTTGAATATCATTATTAACTTCTCTCATCTTTGCGGTTACATTCCAGTGTGTTCCTTACTTTTATAGTATACACTTACCATGACATGAAAGACTTGGCAATTTTGGTTATCACCTAATGAAGACTACATTGATTTTAATATCTATGATTTATGGGTCATTATATAATGAAGTTTCTATAAGTTTCCTAAATTAATGAAGTTTTTATAAGTTTCCTAAATTCTAGTAACGTTGAATATCATATATATATATATATATATAATTGTTCACCTGTTCTCCGGTGTGCAGGAAAATATATGCATATCTCAAGCGTTAGATTCTATTGGGCAGTTAAAATTATAGTTTATTCTTTTATAGTCAACGGTTAAGATTTAGTTCGTACATAAATTTTTTACACACCAATACGTAAGCAGGTGAACAATCATATATATATATATATATATATATATATATTGTAGATATGTATATGTTATGAATATTTTAATAAAAACATAAATAATATTTAATATAATTATTATGAATATTATTATATGAGTTACATAATATTTATATTGATTATTATTACACTCATAATTTTAGAGTTACGATATGAGCATTATGATTTATATATATATATATAAATAGGGGTGCAACTTGGGTTGGGTAACTCGAATCCAACCCGAGCCCAGCTCGATTTTTCACGAACTTGGACAAACTTTTTTATAATTAGGGTTGGGCTTGAATTGAAAAATATCAACCCGAATTTAATTAGGGTTGGGTTTGGGTTAAAGTCCTACCAACCCGAACCCAAATTCTAATATTATTTATATATATATTTTTACTTTTAAATACATTATATATAAAATTTAAACTATGATTACTTTTTTTCTTGTCAACTTTTTTTTTGTTAATCTTAACTTCTTGTATGTTAGCATTTAGGAGAATTAATTTTTTAAAAATATGTTTGTAATTTAATAAAAATCTACAAAAAAAATCTTTAAATTCTTCTTGTTTAAGAGTAATTTAAACTAAAACTAATTTAAGATCATATTAAATTTTCGGTATAAAGATTAGCCATATGAGTAATTTGAATTAACCCGAAGATTTGACTTGGAATTTAACCAGAGTAGCAAGCCTGAATTTAAAAGTAGAAGGATGAGTTGGACTAGAGTTGAATAGTTAAGGTAGATGATAGGGATTGGGTTAGGATTAGGCTCGGGTTTAGTATTTCATATAGTAGGTTAGGCTCAAGTTACACCTTAAACCCGCCCGACCCACCCGAGTTGCAGCCCTATATATCTACTATCTCTCTTTTGGGGGATGAGAATGTTGTAGAGTGATACATTTATGTAGTGAGCCTATTATTAGAAAATCATCTCTCTCTAATCTTCGTCTTCTTCCTCTCTCTAACCCTCCTCCATTGTTGTCCAAGCTTAAAGCTTGTTTTTCTTTGCCTTCCACTCATCTTCTTGACTTACCATAAGAGAGATTATTGTTGGGGACACTAAGGGTTACATAACCCTTGTCCATATTTTAATTTTCAAATATATTTAAGTGTGGGGTAGCATGGACCTTTGATTCATCTCTTTCCATAGAAGGGTTTTGTGTTGGCCTTGCTAAAGGCCATCTTCCTACCCAATTAGATTTTCATTGGGATTATTTTCAAAATCTAGAGATTTGGCCGGGTATGGATTCTTGAGTTGCAGGAAGATGATTTGTTGTTCTTCTTGTTGTCCCCGACCTAACCCCGGAGTTGCATCGCCTTTAAAGCGGTTTCATTTGGTGTCTTTAAGGTTTTCACCTTAATGTGAGGTAAGGGTGGCTTATGCTTGTAACTTACACTTTTCTTGGGTTTTTTATGATGTGAGGGATTTGTAAAGCATGATTAATTGTCAATTGTTAATTATATATTTGAGCCATGTTTTAATTGACTATATTTGTGTTTTGTATCATGCTAATTATTTGAAATGCCAATTGGTTTATTTGTGGTCAAATTTGAGTTTAGTGATGTCAAGCATGGTATATATATATATATATAATTATTTGAAAGGAAATTTGGGTAGTTAATTGTCTCCTTTTGGTCTAAGCAAGATTTACATTGAGATAGTGATAATGTTGGTGTTTGTATGTATATCTGTTGGTGTACAAATTACGGACTTGATTAAATGGATAATGAGTAGTCTACCTTGTTTTAGCATTATGAAATGTGATACCCCCGGATTTCCGAATGCGGGTTGGCCAGGCCCACGCCCGAATACCCGAGGATATCAAAACAAATTGATAATAAACGAACACAGAGTACAAAAGAATAAAGAAGAATAAATAAAATGCTGACAAGAAACTAAAATAATAATCTAATAATAAACCTCATAATATATTTTCATTAATTAATAAACTCTTCTGATACAACTGATCCTCCAAAATACAACTCGGGAATCCATACTGTGTGGACCCCTAGAAAATCCAAACTAAACAAATGACAGTAATTTAAAACAGGAACCTGAATCATAAAGGAACTCCTATGTAGCATCGGAAGAATGAAGTAGACTGATCCCCGCTCAGCACGAACAACCTCTACTCGTGACGAACACCTGAAAAATAATGGTGGGTCAGGCCCACAAGCAAGTTCTACTCTACTACACTCCAAGCAGAGATCCGATACACGTATACATCCTAGTCAATCCAACAGTAACTAGTAGTTCGTATATATATATATACACACTAAAGGAACCTCACTAGACTATAGGGTTGTCTCAACCTGAATAGTAGGCAACATGCAAAACGCACAATAGTGGGCATGAGTACCTAGACCTACTAGGGTACACAACTACACTATATCTAGCTACACATCCCTGGCGATATACGCGCCCTAACCATTGATCCTGAGACTCAAGCTCATATCATGGCACCATACTTATATATATAAAATCTAGTAACCATCCTATCCAGTATAAATTAATCCTCCATAAGTCATTCAACTTGCTCAGCTGACCTGACTTGAATATAAGTACGACTTAACATTTTAGTTAATCCATTCCCTTATATAATAAATTAATCCTCCATAAGTCATTCAACTTGTTCAGTTGACCTGACTTAAATATAAGTAGGACTTAACATTTTAGTTAATCAATTCCCTTATATAAAATAGGTAGGACTTAACTGATAAGTTAATCCATCCCTAGAATGTCACCGTCCCATACCGGTGCATTAAACCACACAATCCAACAATTGATGTAACAATTAAGGAAATACATCAAACATTCCATAAATAACTATGATAAATATGATATCAAGTTATCACATAATAGGAATGACTTATTATTTCTTTAAACTTCCTATATCATATGTGCTACACAAACTGAATCTTATACATGATGATATTTTATTATACCGTTAAATAAGGATTCTCTATATCCAATTCATCCTACACATTTAATCTCAATTGCTAAAATATTTTACAAGATTAAATCCATTCGTTTGTTTAAAACATTCAAATAGCAAGCATCATTATGATTGAGTCTATTTAAATTTATTAAACCCAAACCTAGTCTCTATTTAATTTTCAGGAATCCTAGGCATGTTTCTACGTTCCATCATTCCACAGATATGAAAAATACATAATTTAAACATGTAAAAATTCACATAAGAAATTAAATCAAAATCATGCATTTTACCAATTCATAACACAAGAACAGATATGAACCAATTTCATAAA